ACAGGCCTCAGCCTGCAGGCATGAAGGTCAAGTCTAGCCTCTGGAAGCAAATGTTCCTCTCTTTTTCACTTCCTACCAGCTAGCATATTTAACACTCTATATATTTAGTTTAATTACTCTATGCCACTCTGGATGGATCAAATATGAGAGTCCCCAAAGTAGGGGACTCTGATAGAATCTGGCACATGGTAGGTGCATAGCAATATACTTTTTAAGTGAATGAATGAACTTGGCCCACCATGCTGCCTGCCAGTTTCTCTGCGCATGCCTGTGGCCCAGGGAGTATAGAATCTTGCCTGGGGTCCAAATTCCCGGGGAAAGCTCTCTGATTGGCTGGCACATGTCACGTGCTATCCCTTCTCCAATCAGGGATAAGAGCCCAGGCTGTACCAATACCAGGGGCTGCTTTGGGAGGTCAAGTTGAGAGCATTCCTGGGGACTGAGCAGATTCCAGCTTGGGCCTTTGACAACAGGGTAGGTGTGGCCCTGCCCCGGTCTCCCTGGCCTGGCACGTTCTCCCACCAAGTGGCAGCAGACCACAGTGGTTAGCAACTGAGGACCTGAAGTCAGAGAGAACTGGGTTGAAACTGGAGCTGTCACTCATTCTGCATGGGATCTTAGGTAAACCAGGTTATCTCCCTGTGCCTCAGTTTCCTCACCTGCAAGGTGGAGGGCACTTCCGCAGGTACTTCTTGGTGAGTAATGGATTAGCATGCAAAGGACTGTCAGGGGCTCTGCCCTGGTCACATGCTCAATGGACAAGGGCAACTACTTAACAGCGAGTTAAAGGAGAGAGAGAGAGGAGGCTCATTTTTGATGCTAAGTGAAGCCTCGGTTTACAATCAAGCCCGGGAATTCTGCAGCCCCTGGCTTCCCCTGAAGAAGCCTCCAGGGAAGCTCCATCAAATCCCTGCCGACAGAGTGTACCTTTGCTGAGGCCATGATTTCTGCCTGGCTTCCCCGAGTCTGGGGGACAGTCTGGGAAGATTCTAGCTGCGGCTGTCTCTCTGCACCTCCCAGCAGCAGCCCAGGCCTGTAGCATTGCCAGAGGCAACCCCCGTGCTATTTGTGTCTTCTAAGCTCCCACCTGCCCTCCTTCCTGCTCCACCCAC